ACCTCCCTATATGAAGTGGTTTGACCCACTATGAGGAAGGTTTGCTTCAATTAAAAGAGTTATTAAAAACTATACAGCAATAAATCTCTAATGTACTGTTGTAGACAATTACTGTGTCTAAAAAAGTATGGAATATTTATTTACTGATAAAATATAACAAATCTGAACTGTCTCAATATATTGTACATTTTCCAGATTTTTTTTTAGACGGAAGTATTTATATTTTATTTTATAACAGTCGCTGAGCAACCGACAGAATTTATTGGGTTTACAACTACTGATGTTCAAGTCCGTAGCCTTGTAACTTTGAACCCAATCCAGAAGACAAGGGAACTACTGCATCAAGTATTGGGAGAAATTTGCCATCTTGGAGGACATTTTGATGGAACTAACCCTCATTTGCGTTACATGGAGAGAAAACCCACAAAAACTCCCACGATTAGCCTAACGGCAAGAGGATTTTAATCCACGATCCATCTACTACTGAGGATATTTTACGTCAGCACTGTGGTCGGTGAGAGTCGGGTGCGGAATTCGAATCGTCGAACCCGGGTCACTTCAGTGGGAAGCGAGTGCTCTACATCCTGAGTCGCCACGGCTCTGACTGAAGTATTTGCTGAAATCCTTGATTTGATGAGTCAAACCTTTATTAGTAGCTCGTTTGTAAAATAAATAAAAAAATAAATAAAGTGAGTAAAAAATATAGCACACTAAGATGTACTGTAAAAGCAAAAAATAGGTATACTAGCTTTTAGTAAGAACACTGTGAGAACTATGGTGTAATATCTCTACGAATATGGTGTTAGAAAACTCAAAAAAATGTGTGAAGAATCACTTTATTCAGGGATAACACCAAATAGAGCGTTTCTATACTATTTAAAGGGTGTAATTTAAATCCAAACACTTAAAACTGAATTATTTTGCAACAAACTCTCGCGATTTTACACCATACGGCAATTATTTTCACTTTCGAAAACACCAATGTTGTCAATGTCGAAATTCAAGAAACGCCAAACAGGATATCGAATGTAGTTAGCTTGAATCTTGAATGAGTTGGTGAGAGTTTGTTTTTGCTTTTAACGCTGATATTCATTAAAGAAAGCAATCATTCGCAGTTAAATATGATACTCGTAGTGTATGCATTCTGAATTTATGGATTCTGAATTAATGATTCTTCCTTTATATTGTATACTTGATATTATAAAATTTAATGCTATTGAGCAACAAAAATGGAGGCGACTACTTTCTATCAAATAATGTAAGAGAAGATTAGTGTGGTGAAACTCTGCATCCAAGAGTTATGTATCCAAGAGTCTACATCCAAGAGTTTTATTACATCACGTGAGTATAAATTAGTTGCCACTATTTATGGTGTTGAAATACACCAAATCTTTTTTACAGTGTATCCGTTCCAAATTAATGACTTTTTCTTTAGTTCGTATTGGTAAATAACTTTCCTGACAGTTATGCGTCTCTTATATTACAGTAATTATAAATTTTATTGCTATAGAATACATCAGAAATGGTGGTGGTTACATAACACCAAGTAGCGTAAAAGAGAATTGATGGTGTAGTGGAGCAACACAGTGGTGAAAAGTACATAGTTGTCACTATTTTTGGTGTTAAGAACATTATGACAGCGCATACAAAGAAATTTTCGTTATAAAGTTTGAATGACAGATGACGCAAAAGAGGGCGAAATAAACTACTTTTCTGCTGGAAAAAGATATCACGTGTGATGTTTTCGCGCAGTAATATGACTAATATGAAAACGGCTGATAGACATCATTAACTTGCACTATAAAAAAATTTGGTGAATAGTTACCATAGTTGTTTGGTGTATAATTTTTGGTGTTGAGGTTTTGGTTTGGTGCTAAGTTTTTTTACAACGCATGTTATCACATTTTTTATTAATTTTTCACTGTTATTGTGTTATTATTTATTTATTCCTTTTTGTTGTTTGTTTTCTGACAACATATATTTTCATGCGCATTAGAATCAAGGCTTCTTGGCAAAAACATTTCACATGTTTACTAATATATTCGCAACTCAATTGAACTGAACTGTCCCACTGAAATAAAATCAAAAATCTGCAAGCTGTTCCATACATAAAATACTAATTTGTTTTGATCTTCGTATTCCAAAATTTAAAGAGCAATTTAATAATTTTGAACACTATTGAACAAATTTTTTAAATAACTAATTTGTTTTAGATAAAATTCTCTCGTGTTTGCCAAATTAGAGTTGATTTCTATGTTCCAAAATTTTCAAAAAAATGAGTAATTTTATATTTTTAATGCGTAATGCTGAAATATTTCATTTGTATTCAAATTGTATAAATTATTATTATTATAGTCAAGTTTTTCTGTTATTATTAAACATTTTATTAATTATAATAATGGTTTGTGCCACTAATTTCTGTAAATTTTTCTGTTTCTCTTCTTTTTCTGTNAACAATGCAGCTCACAACTTATCACAATTCCTTATGTATATATGTGGTTTAAATAAAAATTAAAAACAATAGTACTGTTAATGTAACTAACTGTTAATGTAGAAATCAAACGGTTTAAATTATTTGCTATTTTCGATTTCAAAAATTACGGAGTAATTTAACATGTAATTTTTTCTGAATACTTAAGAGTTTCAAAATTGTGAAACTAATTATTCGCTGTGGTTTAGTGAGTTTCGATGTACAGTGGCACCTTGAAATCTACCCAACTTCAAATATCAGCTTTTTACAGAAGTAAAGGTAGTCGGTACATATTGCTGACCATGACGATGGTCACTAAATTGTGGAGCCTGAACCTCCATTATTCTCTGACCCAAAACGAAATTATGGGAATGATATACTTTATCACTAATTTTTATTTTTAAATTTTATTGATTAACATAATTATTTTTACTTTTTATTTATTCAATTGTTCTTTGTTTTATTTCCTCTTGCTTTTTTAATTGTGCCCAGTTTAAACAGAATTAAAAATCCTGAAACTGTTCCGTTTAATATCGGAATATGTTTAAAACAATAATAAATTAAATTTTATTTGTTTATTTTTTCAAATTTAGAATTTTTCAATTATTTAAGATTTGTATTACTGTTTGTTTAAATTCGTGAAGTTGAAACGAAGTTAAATACTTTAAAATTGAAATTATGTTGAAAAAAATAAAGTAAATAGCATTGATCTCCACGCGAGTACTTAAAGATTGATTTCCAGTTAACGTTTTGTTATAGATAAAATTAAAAATGAAGTATCTTGAAAACTAAAAACTTTATTGTAGAGTTTTCAAACTCGGGTGCGTCTAGATATATTTTGACTAAATACTTTGAGTGATAATAAATTTATGTAATTAAATTTTAATACAGAAAATCAGTTGTTTTTAAAATTCTCTATACTAGGTTATGTTGGAAGTATAAATCATCAAGCAAAACATTATTAAAAAGAATAAGAAAATCTCAAGTTAAACATTTGCTCACGTCACCATCAGGAAATGTGTTTTGTTTTGAAAAAAAAAAATTGCTCTTCTAAAACAAATTTTAGGTTACGAAATCTGTTTAAATTTATCAAAAGGCTTGTAATTCTTAGAGTCATAAAAAATCTTAATATCTTTCCACATTATTTTTAAAAAAATTGTCCTAATAATGAAATGCCCAAGAAATAAATTTCTCGTATTAATGAGTACACACTTGAGTTATACTTTCTTGCATTATTGAATACACATTACATATGCGATAATTAATATATTGTTAAATGATATTGGATAATAAAGAATATTAAATATTAAATTTATAGATAAATTTTTTTGCAATTAATTATTATTTTGACAATTTTCAAAACGATGGCTTATTGATATTTAAACTAAAGAGCTCTTGTATAAATTTATACCTCAGGACCCTGAGTGACAACGTTACTGTACTGATTTCATTAAATAAATAATCAAAAGTGCTATACTGTAAGAGCTCCCCGATAAATTCCGAGAAAAGTGGCTTGACAACTTTTTTCTTTCTATTGCTAATGCTATGAACGCTAAAATGGAATTTCAGAAAACTGATAAAGCAAAATTTATTTTTTTAAAATTGTTTTTACAACATGTAGTATATCAAACAAAGATACGAAATATATATAAATCTCAATTTAAAATTTTTTGTTGGTTACGTTGATTTTTCTATTTCACGATAGTATATGATTTCATGTATTAAATGGCATATAAGGTAAGAATGTATTAAATAGCAAGTCATAAGAATTTTCTTATCACTGGATAAATTGTTCGAATAAATTAAACTAATAGTGGCTCGCAAATCGCATATGAATAAGGAGGCCACAAGAGTCCTTTTTTAAACAATGCGTTATTCCTATCCTCAAACTACCAATTAAACAATAAGCATTTAATAACACAATATTTGTTTTGCTGCATCTTTACAAAGAACACTGAAAATCAATAAAAGCATAACGCGTGTCCAGGATCTCCACGTAAAAATTTTCCGCTTGGTCAACTCAATGCTTCTTTAGAAATGAAAGGTGGTAAGATTTAGGCAACTTTAATATTTCCGCTCTATGAAATAACTTTTTTGCCTGACAACAATAGCCTAAGCTACAAAAAACTGACAATTTCTCTGTCAATTCTCCAAAATAAAAAAAAGTGAGTCTTTCTTTTTGGGGGAAAAATTGTACAATAACATTGTCGATGCGCTTACGGAACAACGAAACCGGAAATAGAGCGCTTTTGAAGTTGAAAAATTTCGAAACCGAAACTGCCGAAATAGAAGGAATAAAAAGTAAAGGATAAGTAAACTAAGTGAAGATGAAGAAAACCACGCGGCGGCCTTGAAAAGAAGGAAGCATGTTCACAGCGCACGCCCAATGAGCATTACGTATGCGTCTTAGTTGACCAACAGGAGATGGCGCGGCTTTCATCTAAGACCAAATGCGTTCAGTGGGCGGGATTGAAACACGCCAATGCAACGGGACGAGTGGTGCGAATCCTCGGGCTCCAGCCCGGGCACCATGGATGAGGAGACATGCGGCGAGGGGGACAAGGGAAGCGGCATTGGTCACACACCTTTTTCCGTCGACGATATTTTGGACCCTGATAAATTTACTGGATCATCTCGGTTCAGGGGCTCTTGTTGGCCGACAAGATCTCCAGACCCTTTTGGAAGAAGTAGTAAAGATGGGGTTAAAGGTATGTAAAATCATAAAAGTTCATCTTAGACAATTCTCTAGGAAATGTAATGATACCAATGATTTAAGATTAAGCCAATGATTTAAGATTGTCAGTTCTTGAAACTATTTTGATAAACTCTGTTCTATAATGATACGACTCATTTCCATAAATCTAACGTCATGCTGTGTACTTTAGCATTAATCTTGAGACGGCAAAAAATAATTAAATAGACATACAAACAAGAAATAAAACAAATTAGAGAAACAGAAGCAATGTGAACTGATATGCTAATTTTTGAATAAAATTCAAAAGTATTGTGGTTTTAGGAAATGAGTCTAAAGTCAAAAAAAATATTTTTCATCGTTTTTTAAATCATATCTTTCAAAAATAAAAAAATTAAATCATAATTTTCAATTCGAAACCATATTTTTCCAAAATATAATCACGCTTATTATTTAAATAGGTTAATCAAAATACTTTCCTTTTTGAGTTTTTTTTCTTTTGTTATTAATTACAATTATTTTAATTTAAATATGTCAATCAAAATAGTTTCCCTTAGGAATTTTTCTTTGATATTTATTGGTAGCATGGTTTGTAACAAATTAACTTTAACTAAATAGTTTAAAATCGGATTCAAAATTCATGTTGCATGAGTATAAAAATTTTAATACAGAAACAAAATTATTTTGCACCGCATTTAACAATGCAGCTCACAACTTATCACAATTCCTTATGTTTACTTCGGAGGAAAAAAAAGACTTTTATTTTTCTTTCGATTTTTAAAGTTAAAACAAAAGCCTGCTGAATATTAAAATTATATCGGAGATTAATCGTATTATTTTATTATAAGATAAAACCATGCACTCAATAATATTAAGGTATTGAGAAACTATGCCTTGCTCATTTTCTATCAGAAAATATGCTAAATTTACCATTGAAAAATTTAAAATTTAAAAACTATTATTATAAGACAGTTTTTAATCTAAAAATTGGTTGTATAGCCATATTTAAAAAAAATAAAGAAAGAAAGAAGTGTAAATTTTAAATTGTGGGAAGCCATATCAACAGTAAGCTTTTGGTATTTTCCCATTTTAAAATATGTTTCAATTACTTAAAAAAAAAAGGAATCATTGCAAAAAAAAAAAATTACATTGATTCCTTTTTTTTCCCGTTGTATATGAGTTTGAAGTAATAGTTTGCGCTTAAAAAAGGAAGGCTAACATAGTTCACTTAGAAATTTGAGAAAAGTTTGCATACATCTTAACATTAAGGAATGCAATACAAAAATCAAATGTTATAAAATGAATATATTCTTCGGTTTTTAGGGTTCACAGTTTTGAAATATTTTTGATTGAAGATGTGGTTATTTTTCAACAATGTTGTTTTTAAAAAAAGCTATTCCTAAGCATTTCTTTTAATTAAATCTTTAATAAATAGAGAAAAAAGTGTTTAAAAATTTTGATGAATCAGAAAAAATAGCACAAATATTTCTTATTTTAATAGATGTTAGGTAACAAATGTTTTGAATCAGTTCTTCAAGACATATGTAAAATTATTCAAATTAAGCGTTTGTTTTCAAGTCAGTTCAATCCTTTTTCAAGAAGTTTTTCAGAGAAGGCCAAAAGAAAATAAATTTTTCATAAGGCATGTTTTTGTGGTTTTGGCAGCATTAAGACAGATTTTATCACTTAAAACATTTAAAAGAAAAAATTATTTCAGATTAAACTGCTTTATATCTTTCCAATATGATAGTTGAATTTGTTTATAAATGAGATAAAAAAAAAGTTGTTTAGAAATTAATCTCTGCGGGCATTTAACTGTCAATTTATAGATTGACAGCATTCTAGAGAATGCTGGCATGTGATGAAATATGAGAATTATTATGTACGTAGCAAATGTATAGCATGCCCAAGAATTCTGTAGAATAACAAATGCTCTTTTTGGTAAAGAAGGAAAATTATTATATGCTTTGTCTAGACATAACATAGAATGTTCTGCAAAATGACAAATATTCCTTAGACAAAGTTTGAAATATGAAAATTATTATATATTTTGCCTAGCCATTTTATTTTATTTTATAACCGTCGTTGAACAGCCGACCCAATTTTATGGGTTTACGACTACTAATGTTCAACCCCGTAGCCTTGTAATTTTGAACCCAATCAGGAAGACAAGGGAACTCCTGGATCGAGTATTGGGAGAAATTTGCCTTCGTGGAGGACTTTTTGATGGAGCTAATCCGCATTTTCGTTACATGAAGAGGAAGACCACAAGAACCTCCCACGGTTAGCCTGACGGCAAGGGGACTCTAACCCATGATCCGTCTACCACTGAGGATATTTTATGTCAGCATTGTGATCGGGGCAAGCTGGATGCGGAATTCGAATCGACTGGGATTCAAACCCGGTTGGCCGCATTGGCAGGCGAACGCTCTATCCCCTGAGGCATCGCGGCTCTTTGCCTAGCCATTGCATAGAATGCCTAAGTATTCTGTAGAATGGCAAATACTCTTTAGGCAAAGTAAGAAATGTAATTTGAGAATTATTATATACTTTGCCTTATCCTTGTACAGGACCCCTAAGCTTTCTGGAAATTGATAAATTATCATAAAATTTGAGCTTTGTCATATACTTTGTTAAGTCATTCTATAGAATGCTTGTAGGTTTGTCAGTCTTTATTCTACAGAACGCCTGGGAATGTGCGAACTATTAAACATTTTATACTTTCCCGGTCAATTTTAAACATTCCGAATGCAGGACTTCACATTAAAAAAGAAACTATGGTCAAAACTACCAGATTATGGTAAAAGTTACCATGTTTCTTGCTTTATGAGAACATTAAAAAGTACGGTAATTTTTACGGAAGTGTCCAGGTAATAACTTTTGATGAAATTGCAATTAAATTTGGTTTTATTGACATGCTGTTTTGCAGTAAATGTAGTAAAATTTGGTAATTTTATCATTGGCATAAAAACTATTTATTCGGTTGAAATTATTTTTTAGTTTTAAATTTTTACTAAATGAGTGGTACTAAGAACTGTAATCTTGAAAACAAGAATTTCTGGTAAACAGTTACCATACAAACGGGAAAATTACCAAATGAATGGTTGAAATACCGTATATTTTGGTTTTATTACCAGAATAACGGTTTTTGTTTTAACAGACGCGTCATTACTATGAAGTAATGTTATTTTACCAGAATTCTTCTGCCTTGCACACTCATTGACTATAACATATCACTTTGTTTTTGGAAGAATTGAACAATTTATTTTTAAATAAAAATACTATTTAAAAGTGCTTTTATAAGAGTTAAAAATAGTCACAAAACGTACAAGTGCTTTAAAAGTTGACCATACGTTTGTTTCATGCAGAATTTCTTTTAAATATGCATGCATAAGTGGGAAGTAAGTTCTGAAATAATTATTTACTCTTTCTTTTTATTTCCGTTACATGTTAAAATATAATTTGAACAAAAATAATGAGTCTTACTATATCAATCAAACCAATGTCTCAAATTGCTTGTGCTGCTTTGATGGAATCAAGGAAATAGGTATATAATTATTCCAGATTTTGTTTTTAATGGTAGCGCGGTAATTTGCATAATTATTTACAAAGGTAAAAACATTTAAACTATCAAGTCTTAATCATTTTTCTCTCTATGGTTAACCTTATGGTTAACTATATCACACAAAAGAGGTAAGTCAATTCTAAATTTTTCCAAGTAGTTAATGGTTTTATACATCAGGTAAAGTATTTTATAATAAAACGTTTTTAGGATTTTAGCGATCAACGTTTGCAAAAAAGTTTTACAGTAATTAAATACAGGTAATGTTGTTTATAATCCATTTATTATATCAAAATTTGGTTTATTATGTTTTATGAATTCATTGTATAGGTTTTGTTTTGCAAAACTTGTAACTCTTTTTTTTTCAAGAAAAATAATATTATTGAGCAATCAAATGATATTTGAATCTAATGTACTCACGCTAAATGTGGATCGTAAACTAAACAAAAATAAGGATAGAACACTAATATAAACGAATAGTTAGCAGTAAACATCACTTTAAATAAATTAAAATCAGTGCGACATCGATAACTATCAATAAATTAAAATCAGTGCGACTTCATCGGGCAAACTAAACGAGGTTAAAAATTTAGACTTAAGAAACCCGATAGATACAGGGAAGGGGGACAAAATTATGGAAACCTTCTATACAAATACATTTTTCCGTATTTTTCAAGAAGTACTTAAAGTGACTTTTTAACTTTTGAAGTGTTTCGATCATGCGATTTCTCATACTTATCAATGAAGTTTAAAGCTTTTAGAGGTTTGAGAGACCGATAGTAAATTACAAACGTAAAATAGCGTTTTTGAACCCCCTATACCAAAAAATGTAGCAATAAATACGTAACTTGTAATAAATAGTTTGGTTATTATATGCAATGATTACACAAAATGTTGTAAGTCTAGCTTAAATATTTATGGAGATAAAATTATGGAGATAAATATTATGGATTTTATTAAAAACTAATTTTTTTGTCCTACGTTTTTTTGTTATAACTTTAAAAGTATTCAATAAAATTGAGCAAAATTTTTAGAGAAATTTGAAATTAACTACAAAATTTTTCTTTAAAGTTTGAGAAAAAATTCGTTGAAAATTGTGCAAGATATAAGTAATTAAAGTAGTTATTTTATGCTGCGCATGTGCGGGAAAAATTTGAAATTGTTTTTTTTCCTAATTTTGTAGAGAATTGTATTTGGCAACTAATAAAAAAGGCAGATTTGAATATCGTAAAAATCTTAAAAAATTCAGGCAATTTTCTAGTAGTTTTTGTACTTTTTAAAAGAAACTCAAAATGATAAGGGGATTTCTACAAATATTATTTTGTATTATAAGGCAAAATTAAATAAGAAATGACAATACCTTACAATAAACGTTCATACGCCGAAATATGATTGTATAAATAAATGAAAACATGCGAGAGGTCCCCAACAATGCCGGTATTATTTTTAATAAA